TTACTTTAAGTCTTTGCCTTCATTGCGGCTCGTCTCTGGTCAGGTCAAGGCCAGAGAACTAGCGTTACACAACAGGCGCGCTGCAACTCCACAGGCTGATTCCCCTCCACCCCAGGCCCTGAGCCGCAGTGCTCAGGACGCCTGGAGATACGGGGGAGAAACCAGCTGCTTTCGCGTTGGTCTTCGAAGAGTACCAAGGAGTCGTTACAAGATCAGTTAACATCTGAATAACTTACACTCCCATTAAGAGTGTTCGCTTCCCAGCAAGAATGCCGATATTGTTTAATGAAATTTGATCAGTTTACAATGCCTTCTCACCTCATGAGCTCTCCTCCAGTGTAACAAGTGCCTGAAGTGTTGTACCGATTTCAGGCAGGTCCTGCCTAAAATGCTTGCTCGCTGTCCTTAGTCAAGGACAGAAGCGAGCTGCAATGTAGGTAAAGAGTTAAAGCAAGAGTTTTCCGCAAGCATCTTACCTCCTTTCCCTATCCTCATGCGTGCACACAAGGAAGCTTCACCGAATATTCCTTTACTGCATGCTTTACCTCTGAATGTACTTATAGAGCGTTCTCATTGGTTTACACCCAACCTACCAAGGCCAAGTGAAGGCTCCTGTGCTAAACGTAGGCAGACCATGCTACACTGACAAGTCTGAAATTGAGACGGTCTTCATGAAATTGGTACGTCTGTTGCCTTTTCCGTCTGAAGTTATGTCATATATTTCTTCTAGCATGCAGAGTGCCCAGTGTAGCTCAACTAAGTGCTTAACGATTGCTGACAGCGTTAGGGCGGGCATCAAGAGGGATCATGTGCGAGTTCTCGATTTTGTAGCTCTGTCGAGGACAGAGCTGCAAAACCTCGAACACCTAGGGTAAGGGCGTACAAAAATGCAACTGACCTCCTCTACAGTCCCTAGGCAGCCTGGAACCAATGGCTCAAAGACCTGGGGCCCGGGAGAGGAAGCGGCTTGCCATCTGTTGCACCGCACCCCGCTACAACTAGTGCTGCAGGGTAACCTTGCCTGCATACACAGCAAAGCGTGCACGTATTGTAGTGAATACTCACTACAATCAAGGCAACAATGCCGTGCTCTTTGCGAAATGAGCGAGGGTTGTATGAACAGTGGAGGTGTCTGTGAGTGCTTATTGATGCGCATGGAGTATAACATTGGTGAATAAATTAAACATTCTTTATGAAGTGACCATTGGTATGCCTATAGGAGAGGCTCACATGACCCTTGGTGCAAAATGTTTTGCAACATGCTACTCCCTCCCCCCTCCCAGCCCCAAAGGCCGCAGTACGTGCTCTAGTGGAGTTGCGAAAGAGAACAATTTTGAAGAAGAATAAACTGAGAGAATCAATTTCCTTTAACCTTTGTTAGTATGATATGTTGTTGTTTCAGTATGATAGTTATCGCCTACCAGTTCGCTATATTCAGCAGTGCAGTTCTATAGATGCGCCGAACTGTAGTTCTTCAGAGATACAACCAAGTAATGCGTAAGACTAACTGCAAGTATTTGTACTAAAGAGAAATACCCTAAGTTATCTTGAACATCTCAGCATAGCATGAGAGGAGCTGAGGGCTCTCCCGACATCTCATCAGCTTACAGGGCCCGCAGAACCTCTAGTGTTATGGATTCGCATCACCCCATCGTGTGAGGGAACTTGGATCCCTACTAGGCCTCACAATTGTGTTTTTCATCTGCNTCGCATCACCCCATCGTGTGAGGGAACTTGGATCCCTACTAGGCCTCACAATTGTGTTTTTCATCTGCGTTTGTGTTATTGTTGGGAGCACAAGACGCAGAGCTGCTGGCAGACACTAGTGCATCTACTGACGTGAGTGGGATCAACTTCCGAGGGGCATATGATCCCTAAGGCCCTAAACTCCCCTTAGACTGGCCCTTCTGAAGGAGAGTTTCTCAAACGCATGCCTTTAGCTGCATGCGCAACCGCTATAGACAATTGGTTAACACTTACATGGTCCTACATAGCCAACCTGCACAAGGAAGGATACAGGTGCCAACTTCATGCGCAATGCAACATCTGCACCACCCTTCTCCGAGGACAGCGCGCGTCCTTGTGTGCCGCTTCGCCCAGCCAGGATGGTGGCTCGAAGTAGCGGTGCGTGCTTCCGAATGTTCTGCTGTTGTATCTTGTGCTGGCGACTGGTGCTGAAGGCAACAGAGTACCGAAGCACATAATGCATCCAATTCGCTGTTCGAATACCTCCAGCCTTTGTTCTTCTTTTTCTGCAAATAACACAGGCGATACTGCTGCTTGAAGAATTCGTATGCATGCGTCCGCTTTCGGGCACCCGGAGATTTGTGATAAGCGATGTGTCCTGTGTAACTAGCGTCCTCCCTTTGACGCCAGGACTGGAGCGAGCTGCAATTGAATCACAATACTCAGTATAAGAGCTTCCAGAAAGCAACTCACGTCCTAACTCACCAGGTGGCCTGGGGGCCGGCGGGGAAGGGCCTATGATGGGTGGAAGTGAGGCGGGCTGACAAGAGTTGCAACTCAATCTGCTGCAACTCGCGCCGCACGACAACCCCGCCTGCATGCACAATCCACCCCGCACTGCTACATGCACGAACACTATAGAGAGTTGTTACGCACTTACTTGGCCCTAAGGAATAGGAGTACACGGCGAATGCTACGCCTCATCCCTCCATCCACCAAAAGGCATGCTCTTTCATGGGCCCCGTCGAGAGTAATTACGACAAAAAGGGGGGTGGATGAAAACGGAAAGGAGCAATCAGTATCCAGCAGTGTCACTGTGCTGTCGTGCTGTTGCAACCGCCCCATGGGCAGCCTGGGAAGCCTCTCGGTGGCCTGGCCACTGCTCATCTGCGGCGATCTAGCTTGCGAAATTTGGTAGGGAGCTTCAACTTGTGAAAAATCGTGGCTGGATGGCTACCGCGGCGAAGCTTTTGTAAGCCTGTGGGCAGGGGCCGAGCCTGCCCCAGAGTGTGCGGCCAGCGCCAGAGTATGGAAATTTTGAAATTGCAGGAGGCGCCGCCAAGCGAAGAGTCGGTAGAGGGAAGAGTAATGAGCACCGCAGAGAGGGAAGCAGCCCCTGAAGCTAAGTACATATAGACATATGAGCAAGTCCTCCCTCACCACAGAGCGCCTATAGCTTAATCATGGAATGCAGCACAATTATGAGCAGCTATGCTCATGCTCAAGTAGCTTTGTCTGCAGAAAGCTAATTGTGTTGCCCTGCTTGTGTGCGGTCTCGCTACGAAGGGACATGTAAGTGCTCAACAACTGTCTATAGTGTCACTCCATGCAGCAGAAGGGGCTTGGTTGTGCAAATATGTGGGGGTTCCTTGCAGCAAGAGTTGTAGCGAGATGCGTTGCAGATCGTGTCAGATCACCTCCTCCATCTCTGCCCGACGCCCTTGGGCAGCCGGCTCCAGGCCGCTTACTGGTTGGCGTGGAGATTAGCTCTTCTTTGTGCAGCCTTATTTTACGTACTTCGAATCTTTCGCAGCTCGTGTCAATATTGGGACAAAATCTAGGGGTCTCGTTGCAACTCTTGCTTGCAGTTGCTACTGTCGAGCCGTTGAGAGCCTGCAAATACTCTTGGGGAATCAATATGGGCAGTTGATCATCGGAAACCCACTGTAGCTGTCGATCTCCTGGCAATTTTACATAATATTCTCGTTTCCTTCAGCGCTTTCGGGTAGTTTTACGCGCCCCCAGGACATCAACTTTTTCCAGTTACGTCTCTCGCTT